AACAACAACATCTCTCACTTGCTATCCCTCCAGAATTGATTCTATGTGTAAACCTTTGTGGGTGTTATTGTTAGATGCCATTGAGTTAGCATGACACACGGTGACCCTATAAACAACAGATCTAAACCCTGTCTTATTCTGTGCCATTCTTATCATCTCTAACACACTTGAGCCCATCGCTGCAGTCACTGTGTCAGTGCATCTGGTTGGGGATCTTTCCCTGACCCTTTGCCTTTCCAAGCATGATATCCCTTTCCAAGGAATAGCCTCTTCTAACAACATGACCAAAGTATGTATGTAAGTCAAAGCTTCTTCGTCCTTGCTTACAGGAGCACTTTTCCCAAGACATACATGTTTGTTCTCTTGGTAGTCTAAGGGATATTCTGCACTTTTTTTCCAATAACACAATTCAAAGGCATCAATTTTTCTATCATCCTTGTTCATTGTCCAATTTAGAGGCATGCAAGAAATTGAAAAGACAATTGCCCAAGTCAGGCATACTTTAGTCTTCAAGATAACTGCTTAGAATTTTAGAGCCTTCCCTAATAGCATACTTGCTCAATACAATATATTTCCTTATCTCTTGACGGCTGGTACCAAGGCTATTGATTGTGGATCCAAGTAAGATGAAATAATTGACTATTTCAGTCATTTCTCCATCTATCATGATGTTGCTTATCAGTCCAGTGGTGAGGATTTTTGTCTTCTTGATGTTGAGAAGTAATACATGTTAAACTATACAGTCTTTGATCTTCTGCAGCTAGTGTTTCAAGTCCTACTCACTTTCAACAAGCTTTATATCATGCAGGTTGTTGTTGAGTCTTTTTCAAATACTGTAGCCACATTCTTCTTTATAGAGTACAGCTTCTAAAATGATTTGCTCAATGTACAGATTGAATAGATATGGAGAAAGGACACAATCATGACGTATACTTTTGCTGATTTTAAACTGTCTGGTGTTCCCTTGCAGCAGCAGATGGACAATTTCCTCCAGTGCAATTTACCGCTTCTGAAAACCTCCTGGAGCATCCGCTATAAGTTGGTTCCAATCAGCAGCACCAAACAACAATAATGTTCTCTTATTCTTTTCAGACAACAGCACCAAACAACAATAATGTTCTCTTATTCTTTTCAGACAACAGCTTCTTGGTCTAGATATAAGTTTCATATGAGAATAATTAAGTGTTCTCGTATACCCATTCTTCTCAATGTTAATCATAGATTGTTATTATCTATACAGTTAAATGCCTTTACACAGTCAGTAAGACAAAATAGATATTATTCTTATATGCTCTGCTATTAGCTAGGATCAGCAATGACATCCTTGGTGCTATGTATGATCTCATCTAAACCCCACTTGAACCTCTAAGCGATTGCATGTGTATTATTCTAGCTGCTTTTGGATGATTTTCAGCAATATTTTGCTTGTTGTTGTTGTTATGTGCCATCAAGTCACTTGCAACTCATAGCAACCCTGTGTAGAGCCCTAAACCCTGCAGTCTCCTGTGCTAACCTCACCATCTCTGATACACTTAATCCCACCACCCAAATCACAGAATCTTTCCATCTCATCGAGGGTCTTCCTCTCCTGCACCATCCCCCCACTCTCCCAAATATGATGTCCTTCTCCAAGGACTAGTCCCTTTTTGCAACATGCCCAAAGTATGTGAGAAGAAGCTTCAGAATCCTTGGCTCCAAGGAGCAGCTCG